TTTTTCTAGTGACGGAAGCGGTATCCGACCATCTTTGGATAAAGTGCGAGCGATTCGAGAATACCCGATACCAACAAACCAAGCCGAAGTCGAAAGTTTTACCTATATGACGATTTATTTACGGCAGTTCATACCCGGTCGAGTGGAGCATGCGCGGATTCTGAAGGAAGCAGTAATGTATCGGACACTGCCAGAAGAAGAAGGAGAGCGACAAGCTGGAAGAAGCGGAAGGAGGAAGCCAGTGAAGGTTGTCTGTGGTTTTTGCTGGGGGTTGAAGCAGGAGGCCTCATTTGAGGCAGTAAAGAAGGCAATTGTTGAAAATGTTGTATTTGGAGGAGATGATGCGAGGCAGTATCACTTGATGACGGATGCTTCTGCCTATGCGGTCGGCGGTGTTCTTCTACAACTACCAGATCTACGAGTGGGGACAAACTTGACACCAGCAACTAAGGCAAATATGAAGGTTGTCATGTTTATTTCGAAGCGACTTACGCCGGCAGAGACACAATATTCAGCTACGGAACGAGAGGCGTTAGCGGTTCTAAGATGTCTGGAAGAAGTTCGTTGGTTGGTCCTGGGGTCGCCTTTTCCGACTAAGGTGTATACCGATCATATCGCTCTTCTGGGGCTACTAAAGAAAGATGATGCCCATGGGCGGATTGTTAGGTGGCAAGTGAGGCTATCAGAATATGATGTGGAGTATATTCATGTTTCAGGAAAGGAGAATGTATTGGCGGATGGAATGAGTCGGATAAGAAGATTGAATGGTATGGATGAAGAAGGTCTGGAGAGAAAGGTTGATGGAAGTTTGGAGGAAATTGTTGATGAGGTGTTTGTGTTGGAAGAAGAAAGGATACAAGGAGAGTGGAGAGAATGGCTGGAAGATGAATGGTACTCAGAGGTGGTCCACCTCAAGTTGTTTGGAGAGTTGGAGAGCTATCGAGATGGAAATGGAGAGGCCTTGACAAGACATCGACGGCACCTGATTCGGCAAAAGTCAAAACCCTACCGCTTACTTTACGGAACAGATTCAAAGTCCTTGACGATCGATCAACTAGCAAATCCAATGGAACTACGGAATCGCCTGACCTATATCGAGAAAAACGGCAGAGAGTCGTTTTGTGTGCCTAAGGCCCAAGTTCAAGCAATCCTTCATCACCTACATGACTGCCATAGACACTTTGCAGCAGGAGTTCTCTACCGGACGACGATCGGACGATACTACTGGCCGACACGTGGAAAAGATATCAATACCTATTGCTTGACCTGTGAGAGCTGTCAAATGATTGGACCATTAAAGCCGTCGGTAACTGGCATGGCGATTGTCCACCTACAGCTACTGGATATGATGGGATTCGATTTTGTCGGTCGTTTTCCAGAGACACCACGAGGCAACAAATACATCATCATCGGAGTCGACTATTTTACACGGTTTCTTTTCGCAAGAGCAGTTCCAGACAGCCAAGGAAAATCAGCGGTCCTCCTTCTCCAAGAGGTTGTGAAATTGTTTGGTTGGCCTCGATCAGTTTATACAGACAACAGTGCTCATTTCGTCGCTGGAGAGTTTGCGAAAACCTTGAGAAATGCACATGTTATCCACTTACCTGCTCCAAAGTCTCACCCTCAGTCCGTTGGTCTTTCCGAGCGTTATGTCAAGCTTTTGGTAGATGGGTTAAAGGTGACCATCATGGCAAAGAAGGCTGTCCAAACCGATTGGGACTTGTTGGTAGACTCTGTCACTCATGCTATCAATACTCGAATTTTTAGTGTCCATGGATTCAGTCCTGCCGAGTTGTTACTAGGATTCAAGCCAAATACAGTCGGATGGGATGTGAGACCGGACTCAGAGCGTGCAGTTGCGGTGATTTCTCAGCTGGTGAATGGAGAGGAAGATCTGTGGAGCCAAGAAGATATGCTTGTGGAAAGGCAATTAGAGAGGCTGATCAGACTTGACGAGCGACGAGGAGAAGCAGGCGAGATGATAGTGGAGCATGCAAGTCAAAAGATGAAAAATCAGAAGGCAGTTAGATTCAAAGTGCCTGGAGATGGAGACTTGGTGCTGCTACGAAGATTCCTCTTAGATCAACGTTGAGGAAGTAAGTTGGAAGCCCGATGGGAGGGCCCTTATCTGTTATCCGATCTTGCTTGGCATGGCAAAAGTGGAAGACTCTACGATATCAATACCAAGCAACTTGTCCGCGTCAAGCAAGGTGGTCTAAAGGAACGAGTCCATCTGAACGATTTAAAGCTCTTTCTGCCCCGTCGATTATCCTCTACCGATTCTCAAGTCAACTGGGTGGACCTACTCAAGTACCAAGAAAGAGGAGGAGCTAGTCAGAATGGAGAGGTGTACTGTCTGGATGGGACTACAGGTGGAAAAGAAAGAGAGACGGAATGGTGTCTGGAATGGATTGAGCAGGCCAAAGGAGTTGGCTGAGGCGTGTTTGTCTGAGTGATGTTTGATGGAGCAGAGTGTGTTTCTTTGTGGGGGGGTTGTTTAAAGGGAGATGAATGTTGTTTGTTTCTGAGCTGATTGGGTGGTTTGTTTGTCAATTTGTGTGGGAAATGTTTGTTTGGATTACGAGACTAGGGATGGGAAAGTTTGTGGTTGTTTTGGTTGATTTTTCTGGGGGGGACATGTATGATGGTGATGCCTTCGGGGGCAAAGGCTGAAAGGAAGGGGGAATCCTTGTGGTGCGAGGAAGGTTTTAGGGGTTTTCTGGTCATGTTTGCTGGGTTTTTGCCTATAGAATTTTCTGTTTGGGATGAGGCTTAGCAGGTGGCTGTTTTTCACCTGGAGGCATGGCCTTGCCTTCCTCAGCGAGAGCGGAGGAACAAGACAGCGAGAACCCATCCTGTACAACCAATACCACCACCTTCTTTACTGTTGTTTCTGGTTGTCGTTTTCCCCACTCCTTTCGCTTGCTTTCTCACTGTGTTTTACTGTCAACTTTATCAGCATAAGTCTACACTCTTATCCGATCGAATATTACATTGTACGGTTACCACAATTGCACAGGTGTCAGCTCGGTCAATCACACCATCCAAAATCCGGAAGACAACCAAGACACTTCCACACCGGTAGGGTATGGTGTACATGTAAATTACAGTACGCGCGAGTAACTATTCGTACGGCGGTAGGATTCTTGGCGGGTACGACTGAGACATGCAGGCCACACAGCATGTGTGAAAGCTCTGTGGAGGGAGGACAATCAATACGGGAAAAAATGGGAACAAAATCGTAAATTAGAATAAAACAAAACACCCAGAAAACGGATAGTGTTTTCCTGACACAGTATAGCTCAGGTCAGCAGAAACCAGTAGACCTCATTACCAGGCATTCGAGACTCTGTTAACCTACCTTGGTGAGCCTATCGTGGTTTAGTATCTTGATTCTGGTTGCGCATACCCCCCTACAAGCGAGCCAAGTGCCCGGACCCAAGATAGCGGATTTAACGAGTTTTTACGGTATGATACCGGTATGATAGGGTATGGTACCAGTATCATGCTAGCCGAACCCGGTCGAGTATACCTCACCAAGCGAAGTGGGATCTGCCGGGTAACTGGCTCTGCTCGGTGGGGTATTTTTGCCCCGGGATTCTTTTCTGCGGGTCACGGCTCTCCTGATCCTCCACACTTCAGACCTCAAGAAGAACAGCTACCCCAAGCATGGCTCTCAACCGAACTCTTCAGTTGTGTTTTCACAGAGGCTTTCCTTACCGCTATTATCGTGGTACGCACCACCATTCTCGCTACATTCACAACACCGCACGGGTAACTAAATCTTTCGATGGTGGTTCAGTGAGATATGCTAATTGTTGGCCCCATAAAAGAGAGCAATCGATGAGCTTTGGGGGAAGGTGCCGCAAAGCTCGAGGGAATTAAGGTCTTGTCTCAGCTAGAAAGGCTAAGCGTTGTAGAGACAGCAAGGATCGAATCACAATCAGTTCGGCACATGCTAACTAACTAAGAGTAAAAAGGAACTTAGGGCCTGTTTGGATGAGATGGTTCCGTTCCGTTGACCCATACAAATGACCATTTCCTTCCTTTTCAAAAAGATTGTTGCCAAAAGGCCGTTTGGCACACCTGCTATCAACCCTTCTGTTTCAGTGGTTGACCGTTAGCAACGACCTTTTCCACCAGTCAAACTACCGGTATTTCGCAACGGAATGGTTGCCACTTCTTCCTTTTTTACCAAACAGGCCCTTACGATTCTCGGCAAAACCGTTAACAATGGACTCAGCCGAATCGAATCCTATATCAAACTGATGATAACATTTGGCGGCGGGACAGTTTTCTTTGGGTTTGGGACAGTACGCTCGCTAGTGCACTCCAGTTTTCTGAGTTATTCCGCTTAAATCCCTATCTACAGTTAGCATACAAGGTGATGGTTTACGACGTTGCCACATACAAAGAAATGAGGGATCACATCGAACGCACTGTCGCTGCATCCGAGCAGAGAACCGAAGACAGGTTGGAGAATTTAAAGCTTTTGACTAAATCGGAGCTAGACAACCTGAGGCTATTGCTGGAGTTGAACACTCGCAAAACATGAGCGTTGTTGTTGTCGGAGGGCTAGAGATGGTAACAGGTGCAGGGTTTTTTCTGCTTAGTGGGGTGGGGGTCGTTTTCTGTATAGCTTCACTATGGGCGTTACGAGGAATAGATGCAGTTAAATAGAATCTGCTTATTATTACGTTTACGTTCTTTTGCTGCCGTCAAGACATTGCCGCAATACCCTAAAAACCCTTTAGATCACTATCTCCACCAGGCCTCCAACCCCCATGTTCTGAGACAAGACCCCTTAATAAGAATTAGTGTTTTGCTAAGCCTGGGGCAGTGGATGGAAAATGTGTTTGTGCGGGTGATTGATTTATCCTCAGCACTGATAAAAATATCTACAGAATATACATAATGCAACACCAGATCTCCACCATCTATATCACATGCTTCTTCCCGTGGAATGGCGAGAATATGCCTCTTACACTCTCGTTCAGCGAGATAACTGGCCTGGTAATCCTCTTTAATTTTGTACCGGAGGAATTTCGGAGAAGCTGTGCTTTCTGAAGAATCTGTTGAATCTCCAACCCATCGACCGGAATGACCTTCTCACGGCCGTTGACTAGTAGTGGTTAGTTATCTGTATGAAAGATAGCGGGTGGTGATAGATATGGAGGTGATTACTGTAGGTTCCACGGATTATCGGTATCTTGTTGGGTCGTGGGGCAACAATGATTTCTATCTGCGGGTTTTGTCTGGCGAATTGTGATAGTGAATGCTTTAGGAACGACCTGTCCTTCGGTCAGGAAAGAAATACCGAGTCAGTTCGCATGATATTTGGGAGATTGGGGGTGGTAAAAGGTGTTGGGTGGATCCGAACGTGCCTCATCCCCTTTGAGCTCCCGGCCCAATCACAGAAATTGAATTCCATGCGTTTGCACTGGAGAATAAAAGCCCCTACACCATTCTGGGATTTCGAGACAGCTCGGAGGGCTGAGACAGGCATCGCTCCTTCCTTCGTCCGTCTGTTCTTGCAATCGATCGGGGGGGGCGGGAGGTGGGGAGGTGCGATCTTGAACGGTCAGCAGTGAAGAAAAAAAAAGTGACAGTGGGTGTGGTGAAGGGATAGATTAAAGGTGAGGTTGATTGGTGAGTCAGCCAAAGTGGGAAGGGGAATCCCCACAGGGGCGCGTCTGCCAAGACAATTTTTCTGGCGACCGACGCGACTTCTTAGGGAATCCAATCTCTCTTTTCTCAGCGACAGCCTTCTCCCTTCCAACTCACTCGTCCTGCCATCCAAACACACCCACTTTTCATTTTTTTTGTCGGAAAACACCGCTCGACTGCTTGAAAAAAACCGGAATCGTCAATAGGTGAAAATAATCAGAAGGATAGAGGTTACCACCAGCCATGGGTGATGAAGTTAGCATAGACAAGTCGCTCTTTCACTCTCGTCTCGGCGGCCTGGTTGCGGCTTGGAAGGATCCGAAGAGGGCGGATTTGTTCGGTGGTGTTGGTTCTATTGTCATAATCTTGGGGAAGACTGTGGAGGGCCCCTATTCGAAGAGTCTTGCTCTGCATGTAAGTCTTAGAGCATTTCGTCCCTTGGCCATCACTCTCTTACGTTTTATTTATTCTCTGCTTCGGATTTTCCGGGGAGGTTTTGTTTTCGGAGGCTTACGTGAATTGTGTAGTTCTGGTTGCTAGGATACGAATTCCCGACAACGCTCTTTGTCGTTACGCAAGATAAATTTTATGTTGTGACTACGCCTAAGAAATGTTTGTGCTAGCGATTTCCTTGATTGGTGTTACAATAGCAGCAGGTGTCGGTCGTCTTGGTGGCGGATCCGCTAACAGCTCCCGTTGTGTGCAGCAAAACATCTAGAAACTCTGAAGGGTGGTAAATTCCCGATTGAAATCCTAGTACGAGGAAAGGATGAGGCACAGAACACCCAAAACTTCAAAGACCTGGCGGAGGTCATCAAGAAATCCGGGGTAGGACTTGCTCCCTTTGCTCGGTTACATGGTGGGGTTCTGAAACTGACTGCCCCTATGCTATGTAGAAAAAGGTTGGCGTCTGCATAAAGGACAAGGCGGAAGGTCCCTTCGTCAACGACTGGAAGAAAATATTCCCTGCGGAAATTGAAGGTGTGGAGGAATTTGATGTCACACCCGCAATTTCGCAGTGCCTAGCTGTTAAGGATGATCTGGAGTTGGTAAGTCGAGCTGTAATGGGGCCCAAGAGCTAGGTGTTAACGGTGTATTAGAAAACTATGCGTGCTTCCTCGCGTGCCTTGGTCGGTATTATGAAGGATTACTTCATCGACGAAATGTCTACGATCATCGACGAGGAGAAGAAGATAACTCACGTGCAGCTGTCGCAGAAAATCGAGGCGAAGATCGATGATGAAAAGTTTTTCAGAGCCAAAGAGATGAAACTCGGCCCGGATGTATGCTCTATTCCGTTGCACTACTTGTTGTGCACTAAACTGACTTTTGTCATAGTTTGACCCATTACAGCTAGACTGGACCGTCGGGCCATTGGTGCAGAGTGGAGGGAGGTATGATTTGCGGTCGAATGCTGCATCGGATGATAGCCAGCTTCATGGTGGTATTATTTTGTCAACCATGGGATTACGTTACAAGAGTTATTGTTCAGCTATTGCAAGGACCTTTCTCATCGACCCGAATAAGGTAATCCTCGGTTCTTGAATTTCACGGAGGGTTCTTGGTTAACGTGGTGATAGTCCCAAGAGAAATACTACAGCTTCCTAGTCGATCTCCAATGGAAGGTCTTATCCGAAATACGCGATGGGGTTGTTTGCAAGGATGTTTATAATAAGGCTATTGCTTTTATTAAGTCAAAGCATCCAGAATTGGAGAAGCATTTCCTTAAAGCTATTGGTTCTATTATTGGAATTGAGGCCAAGGATACAATCACTGCCATTACTGCTAAGAGTAATAGGGTCGTCAAGGATGGGATGACTCTCTGTGTTACTGTGGGCTTTGCCGATTTGGAGAACCCGAAGCCACAAGACTCTAAGAGTAAAGTCTACAGTCTTGTTTTGACTGACACCATTAAAGTTACTGCTGGTGACCCGATCGTATTCACTGGAGGATGTTCCAAGGATCTAAAGGAGACTGCCTTCTACTTCAAGGATGAAGAGCCGGAGCAAAAGGTCAAGGAGAAAAAGCCAGCACCTAAACCAGCGCCTGCTAAGAATACCGCTATTTTGAAGGCTAAGCTCCGGGGAGAGCGCAAGGAGGTTGACGAGGGCGCGGAGCAGAAGAGGAGGGAGCATCAAAAGGAGTTGGCTCAGCAAAAGCAAGAAGAGGGTCTAGCTCGTTATGCGGAGGGAGATGCGGTTGGCGATGGCAAGGGCAAAAAGGCGATCAAACGATTCGAGTCTTATAAGCGCGAAAACCAGTTGCCTTTGTCGGTTGCAGACCTTAAGATTGTGGTAGACGCCAAGAGCCAGACCATCATTGTGCCTGTTTTTGGGAGACCAGTTCCTTTCCACATCGCAACATTGAAGAATGCCAGCAAGACGGATGAGGGTAATTGGACTTATCTTCGCATCAATTTCCTCTCACCGGGTCAAGGTGTTGGGAGGAAAGATGATTTGGTGAGTGTCTTGTTGTAGTACACCCACAGAAGGGGGATATGCTAATAATAATACCCTTAGCCGTTTGAGGACCCAAATGCCCATTTTGTACGAAGCTTGACTTATAGAAGCACGGACAACGATCGTATGGCTGAGATCTGTGCAGCTATCCAAGATATGAAGAAGAATGCTGTCAAGCGTGAGCAGGAGCGCAAGGAGATGGAGGATGTGGTGACCCAAGACAATCTGGTGGAGATTAGGAATCGTCGACCTCAAAGACTTGGGGATATCTATGTCCGCCCTGCGCTTGAAGGCAAACGTGTTCCGGGGGAAGTCGAGATTCACCAGAACGGTCTTCGCTATCAATCACCTATTCGTAATGATCATCGCATTGATGTCCTTTTCAGCAACGTCAAACATCTTTTCTTCCAACCTTGCGCTCACGAGCTCATTGTCCTTATCCATGTCCATCTCAAAGACCCGATCATGGTTGGGAAAAAGAAGACCAAGGATGTTCAATTCTACCGCGAAGCCACCGACATTCAGTTTGACGAGACTGGGAACAGAAAGAGGAAGTATAGATATGGAGACGAAGAGGAATTCGAACAGGAGCAAGAGGAGCGTAGACGGAGGGCGCTTTTGGATAAGGAATTTAAAGCGTTCGCGGACAAAATCTCTGAAGCTGGGAAGAAGCATGAAAATGGTGTAGACGTTGACATACCGTACCGTGAACTAGGGTTCAATGGGGTCCCCTTCCGTGCGAATGTACTTTGCGCGCCCACTACGGACGCTCTTGTGCAGCTTACCGATCCCCCGTTCTTGGTTATTACTCTTGACGAGGTAGAGATTGCCCACTTGGAAAGAGTTCAGGTTAGTTTCAAATCCTATACCGAGGCGATTAGGTGTGGCTTACCCGGCAATTTGTATAGTTTGGATTGAAAAACTTTGACCTGGTCTTTGTGTATAAAGACTATACCCGGCCTGTTTCTCATATCAATTCCATTCCTATGGAGTCTCTTGAGAATGCCAAGGAGTGGCTTGACTCTTCTAACATCCCTTTCACAGAAGGCCCGTTGAACTTGAACTGGCCGACAATTATGAAGACTGTGATTGCGGACCCCCATCAGTTCTTCAAAGATGGTAACATGATTTCTAGCGTTCTTGTGTCAATCTAAATTTAGGCTAACAATATGCGAATGTAGGCGGGTGGAACTTCTTGTCCGTGGAGTCTGATGCTGACGATGATGACGAGGAAGACGAGGTGTCTGAATTCGAAGCCGATAGCTCCGACTCCGAGTCCGAGGGCAGCGGGGAGGATAGTGAATTCGACGACGATGACGCTAGCGCAGATGAAGGCTCCGAAGCGTCGGACGATGAATCTGGCGGTGAGGATTCGGAATGATCTTATTACACCTCATTTATTAATTCATATTACCTTTTTCTCTTTCTTTTGCCATCATTTTTGCACATCCATGATCCCTAGAAACAAAATTCACATGGTTGAGGATTCCGTTGTTTGCTTTTCCCAACAATGGCACTTTCTTATTATCAGAGAAAAGACAGCTCTAATACCTTGCTATGATTTTGCGGTGGATAGATGATTGGGATGACCTTGAGGATGAGGCCAGGCGGAAGGATAAGGAGGTTTCTGTCAAAGTTGAGGAGAAGCCGAAGAAGGGGAAGAGGCGCTGAGTGGGAGACACTTGGTTTGGGTCTAATTTGGTATTTGCTGGTAAATGTATGATAAATTACCCTTTTCTTTTTCCTATCATTTTTGAGTTTGCTTTCTTGCTTGTGGGGGTTTTTTCTTTCAAAAAGCTCCCCGGTGAAGAGATATATCGAGATCTCGAGAGGCGCTAGTGTATAAGGTGGATTGGTGGATGGATGGAACTGGTAGTTAGCTGGTTATGAAATTGTGGGCTGGGGGAAGTGGGAAAGGTTTGCTGGGATGGATGGTTTGCTGGGAATTATCGAAATGACATTCTTCTATGGAATTGATACCCTGTTGGGGGCCTTGTTTTTAACCAATTTATAGCTATATGTCCGCGCAACGACTACTCAATACATGCGGGTGAGGGCGCAGTAGGCGCTTGACTTTTTCTCTCAGAGGGGGCTTACCCGCCTTTGCGTAGTAGAATTGTCATGGATAAGGTGAATGCGGTCGGGAGAAACCAGTTCCCGAGGCCTTGGTTATAGTGGGAGCCTTATAGTCTTGTCGGAACTGCCGTTCATAAAGTGTGGGAAGGCGGAAACGTCCTCTTCGGGTCCTACTTTGGGTTTCGGGTATCCTACTTTGGGTGGAATGATATTATACTCAAGTGTGATACGTAAATTATACATTATGATACAGCGCGATACTAGTTCCATGGCCTGGGACACATATCCATCACGATCTATCACTCGGTACTTCATCCAGGTGTGCACATATGGGGGACTCGAGACGGGTGCGGGTTAGTTAATGGCATCGTATTGATTGATATATACAGTAGATTTTTCGCTGGGTAAGCTGTTGTGAACATCTTTTAAAAGAATGGCGTAAAAGAGTTATCAACAGTCACATTACGTTCGTGGGATCGTGGTCCGCTTCGAGCGCCGCCATGCCATATATAGAGTTTGAATGACGGTATGATATCCAATTTACCGCAATGGGGTGTTATATACGTGTCCTGAATCTTTGGAGAGCACCGTGTCGTATTTTACAAAACCGGTGCTTTTATACCTTCCATCCCGTTCAAGTTCATCTGCCCCGTTCGTTCGTTCATATCGTCCTGCACTCATAAACACATTTCTTTGGAGGGAAGACTGGTCAAAAAAAAGACGGGAAAACTATCGTTTACGGTTTTCAAGGAAAATAAAGGGAAAGGAGAGAAAAAAAAATGCGTCCCTTAATATTTCTCGCTCTCCCCCTCCCATTGGTCTACGCGGTGGTGCGCCTCACTACACTGACCTACGAGCCCTTCGACGTGATCACTTCCCCACCCTTCCCCTGGGAAGAGCTCCCTAGGATGAAAATCCCGGCGGAGACCGAAATTACGCTGCAGATGCCTCTGGCGTACGCTGACCAGGCCGCCTACGAGAAGCGCATGCTCACGTCTCACGACCCGGAGAACCCCGATTACGGGAGGCACATCGGACCTGAGGAGCTGGCCCTCCTGATCGGCCCCACAAAGGAGACGTACGAGACAGTGGTGGCGTGGCTGGGGCTGTTTGGCATCCCCGAGGAGGATCTCAAGCTCGAGTACGACTGGCTCAGCTTCCGGACTACGGTGAGCATCGCTGAGAAGCTGCTCAAGGCGGAGTACAGCTTCTATATCAACCGTAAGAATGGGGGTCAACTCACGTTGAGGTGTTTGGGGTACAGCCTTCCCAGGGAGGTTAAGGGAATGGTTAGGTTTGTTCAACCGACTACTTTATTTGCTACAAGGAATGGGATGGAGAAGGAGAAGAAGAAGGGGGAGGAAGGAAAAAGGATGGTGGTGGAGGAGGGGGAGGAGTAGAAAGAGGAGGAGAACGAAGAGGAGGAGGAGAAGGAGAAGGAGGAGTAGAAGGGGGGGGGGAGAGGGGACAAGAAGGTGGCCCAATGGGAGGATTTTTGAGCATTTGTATGACACTAGGTCTGGGAGAGGTGGATATGATAAGGAGCGGCTCAGAGTTATCAGGGGGAACAAATCTGTTGCAGATTTTGGCGAATGGTGGATGCAAAATTTACATTTTTGTTGCCATGTTTTTTGTTTTTGTCAAATAGCATGGGTCATTAACTTTCATTTTATTTTACGTCCTGTTTGGGACGTCATAAAAAAGACTTCCCGACTTTTTCCAGTGTACAATAACACTAGCTGCCCTCCTCAAGATCTTGAGGATTTGTTTCCTATGGTTAGAAATAAACAGAACTTTTAAATAATTCTATATACTAATAGACACTGGGAGTAGATTTGTCTACCATAGTTAAATATAAATAGAACTTTGAAATTATTCTACATACAAGTGAGTATATCAGATGTGAATATACTATTAACAGCAACTTATAGCTGTACTGGATCCAGGTCCATTGTCAAGTATAAATCATATTTCTACCGTATAAGAGTCAATTTGGCCTGAAGTCCAAATAGCCAGTATTCTATCATTAGTGCAAGTTGTGTAGCACCTCTAGATATATTTCATTTTCTGTTACAGTAAGAGTATAATACCTTAGCTTTTCTTAAAATGTCCTCAATAGTTGACTTTTTGAGTTCAAGTTTGACTGCAACTTTGCATGGAGACATGTTTGCATGCCAGTTCAGTGTAAGTATCACAGCTGTTATGAGAAGAGGAACTCTGGGAGCAGTTCCAGCTCCCCCAAAATGTGTGGCCGGTATGATAAAGTGAGTAGATTTAAAGGTACTTGAAGGACTCTTGTGAACACCTAGAGTGCATAACAGTACTCAAGTATGATCAGTACTTATGTGGTGAAGAACCTGCTACTTCACATGGTATATCAGAATTACATCAAAGATCTTGGCACTCTGCGGCCCACTCCTTATTCGTTCGTTAATCACTTTCGAAATAAGGTGCTCGGATTCAACTCGGCCGCGCGAGTATAGAAGGGGAGGAAAGGTGGGTGTGGGTTATTAGATTTGGGTATGTAGGATATGCAGTGGGTGGCTAGCTATACTCGAGTACAGGTGCGAAATGTCCAAAGTAATTTATTTATTTTATTCTTTATTATTCCCCCCCCCCCAATGTAAAGTAATGTGATGTGAACGCTAGCGCCTGACTTGAGTCATTTGACTGAGTGATAATTTGTGATGTGGGAGCCAACGGTGCACCACGATACCGGCATGGAAGCAACCTCAATGCATCAAGCAGGCACTCTACCTGCCCCCCGGTCTTCACACACCAACAGAAAAAAAAAATAAGAAATGTCAACACCCAAGATAATCGTGCCAAGGTTGTGACTAAGCGTCACAACCCCTGGTTGCTCGCTCGCTCGCAACCTGGGCACTCCTTCAGAGTGCCTGCCAGCTCAACATGACTTTACAGCTCAACATGACCTGTGGCTCAACACAACTTTTT